GCCGAGTGTGAGATCCTGTGCACCCCCCCTTGTGGGTGCTGGCTGTGTGGGAAGGGGAAGAGGGGGAAGGGAGAAGGCCAGGGTGTGCATGAGAGTGGCTCCCCAGCCACATGAGAACAGCAACTTCCTCTGTCTGGGGTTTGAGGTCACTGCACCGAGCAGTCACCCCAGAGCTGCTGTTGGTGGGAAGGGGTGGGGATGCAGCCACACGAAAGGGACATGGTGGAGAGACAGGGGCATGACTCTGGTGTTTTCTTCTCAGCCCATCTCCTTCTGCAAGGTAGGAGAGGCACACGCACACACACCCATCCCATTTGTCAACTCCTGTCTCCACACTGCGACATTCCGGATTAGATTAGGAGCTCTCTGTGTCTATATGATCCCTTCATATCCTTAACATACCAGTCTCCCCAAAAGGGGAAACTAAAGTATCTCCTTTGGTCACCAGGCCTCCTCCCCATCAGTAAGTTCTTCCTATTGTCCAACTTAAATTCTTTTTTACTTTTTTGAGACAGAATCTGGTTATGTTGCCCAGGCTGGTCTTGAACTCTTGGGCTCAAGTGATCCTCCCGCCTCCACCTCCCATGTGCTGGGATTACAGGCGGGAGCCGCCCCACCCTCAACTTAAACTCTTTTTTTTTTTGAGACAGAGTCTCACTCTGTGGCCTGGGCTAGAGTGCCATGGGGTCAGCCTAGCTCCCAGCAACCTCACACTCCTGGGCTCAAGCGATCTTCCTGCCTCAGCCTCCTGAGTAGCTGGGACTACAGGCATGTGCCACCATGACCGGCTAATTTTTTCTATATATTTTTAGTTGTCCAGATAATTTCTTTCTATTTTTAGTAGAGATGGGTTCTCAATCTTGCTCAGGCTGGTCTCAAACTCCTGACCTCAAGCAATCCTCCTGCCTCAGCCTCCCAGAGTGCTAGGATTGCAGGCGTGAGCCACCATGCCCAGCCTCAACTTAAACTCTTTATGCTTCAGCTCAGGTCCCTGTTGTCTTGTCTGAAGTGAAATGTAGCGAACAAAGAATATCATTTCCTATATGCTCACCTTTGGGGAAACCCCATCGCTAACAGAGGTGTCCTCCTGCATATGGGTTTACACTCTGTCATTTGTATACTTCCCTCTAAGCATCCTGGGTCCTGGTCCTCTCTGTCCTGAATTCCCCAAAGCCAGGTCTGCGAAAATGACAGATGGGACACTTATAAGTGTGATGTGTCCTGTCCTTTGCTCACCCCCTCCTCAGTCCCTGGTGGGATTGGCTCTAATCAAAGGGAATCAGCCAGGGCTCCAGCTCCCTGGCTCTGAGATGGTCTTGGGGAGGGAAGAGGGTGATGGGCCCACTCAGCCCGCTGTGGCTGCACAGAGGAAGTGGCTGTCGGCAGAACTGAGGCCCAAGGCCCGGGCAATGACGAGAGGGGGTGGGGCTGGGGGAAGGGTGGGAGAGGGGCCTGGGAAGTGGAAGGGGGAACTTGCTGTGCCGGTGCGCTCCCTCCCAGTTCTCCTCCGCCCCTCCCCCATTTTCTCTCTGGGACGAGGGTGGGGATTGGCCCCCCCACTCCAGATGCCAGCCCCACTCCCTGCACCCTTGCAGGACCTGAGCACGCAGCTGTCGCGGACCGGGACCCTGTCTCGAAAGAGCATCAAGGCGCCTGCCACACCCGTCTCTGCCACGCTGGGGTGAGGCCTAGCCTTGATCCAAATCAGCCTGGCCCTGCCCTGCGCCATCCTGAAACTCTGCTCCCCCACCCTCGCCCCCCACCAGGTGCCTCGTGCGCAACATGCCATGTTTATGCCCAGCGCCAAACTTCCTCCTCTGACAGCCGCTGCCTCCTCCTCCTCCTCCTCCTCCTCCTCCTCCTCCTCGCACCGGGCCCCTGCTTGCTCTGCTTCCCTCTACACGATGCTCCCCTCCCCAGGAGAACCCCCCGGATCCCTGAGCCGGTGCAGCCCCCCGTGGTGCCCGATGGCAAGCTCTCTGCAGCCTCATCCGCCTCTTCCCTGGCCTCGGCCGGGTGAGCTCTAAATCCGCGTGGGTGGGCGGGTGGTGGTTTTTGAGAGGGGCCTCCTGTGGGTTGTCACAGTGACTACAGGGGTTGAAGACTGCGGGTCACAGGTGCAGAGTTGGGGCAGACTCAGAGGCGGGGCTTAGAAGTGGAGGGGTGGGGCCAGTTGGGGACGCTGAGTTTGAGACGTCCCCCAACCGATCCGAGCGCTCTCTCTGGCCTTCAGCAGCGCCGAAGGTGTTGGTGGGGCCTCCACGTCCAAGGGGCAGGCAGCTCCTCCACCCCCACCTCTGCCCGGGTCCACGACCCCACCCCCTCCACCAACTGCCGACGAGGTCTTCCTGCTGCCCCCTCCGCTGGAGGAGCTGTCCCCGCCCCCGCCAGGTAAGGAGCTCCGCCCCCTCCTCCTTCCTGATCCCGGGGCCTCCCCACCTCACCCCTCCTGGATCAGACCCGGCCAGCCTCCGCGAACGCTTCCTCCTAGGAGAGCGGACGGGAGGAAAGTCCGAGGAGGTGAACTAACTTAGCACCTGCTTTATGCCAGGCCGTGTTCGAAGCTTCTCATCTATTTTCTCGTCTAAACTTAACCCTAAGCGGATCTGTACGCTCTCATTTAACAGACAAAGCAGCTGAGGCTGAGAGGTTAAGTGACTTGCTCTAGGGCTACCCAGCAAACACGTGGCAGAGTCTGGCTAACTTATACTGCTCAATCTTTCCGTGTTTACTGAACACCTACTACATGCTAGAGGCATTGTGGGAGGACCAGGACGGGTAAGGGCTGGAGGAAGATAACATAAAATGGGTGGATTCTGGAGCCCTGCTCTCCTGCTGCGAAGTTTCCAGAGGCAAATGAAGGGGAGGTCCCTGTGCCACACGTGCAGCCTTTCTGCTTTCCCTCCCAGGCCCAGAGCTGCCCCTGCCCCTGGACCTGCCCCCTCCTCCGCCCCTGGATGCGGACGAACTGGGGCTGCCGCCTCCGCCCCCGCCAGGCTTCGAGTCGGATGAGCCCGGCTGGGTCCCTGCCACATACTTGGAGAAAGGTACCTGACTCCTGGGACTGAAGGGCACCAGATCCCATCTTCCAGGTTTCTGGCTTCTGTTGCCCTGACCCCCGCACCTCCTACCCCAGAGGCATTCTTCCCTCCCTCTGCAAAGATCTGAACCTGGTATTGCCCCCCAAACCCCCACGCACTTTTTCTGATGCACTGAGCTTAGAACCAAACTGGGAGAGAGCAGCTGGCCTGGTATTGAGCACTAAGCTGAGGAGGGGTCCTGAAGGCTTGAAGGAAGCCCTCCTCTGTAGCCTTCTCCCCTAGATTCCCCCTAGAGTTCAGTATTTAAGCCCCTGCATACCCATGGGGGGAGGGCGCAAGGGGCATATCTCATGGCACCCTCTCCTCCTGCCCTGCAGTGGTGACACTGTACCCATACACTCGCCAGAAGGACAACGAACTCTCCTTCTCTGAGGGCACTGTAATCTGCGTCACTCGACGCTACTCCGACGGCTGGTGTGAGGGCGTCAGCTCGGAGGGGACTGGATTCTTCCCTGGGAACTATGTGGAGCCCAGCTGCTGACCGCCTGGGGCTCAGCTGACCAAGGCTCTACTGCAGTGGGCCTCTTGAACCCCAGGCCAAGCCAGCACCAGTCAGGGCTGGACAGGTCTGCCCACCTCTTGGGCTGTGAGCTGTTTCCTGTCCCTTGCCCCCATCGTGGAGGTAAGGGGTTCCAGGGAGAGAGAGGAGGTACCCACAGACCTGCTGCCCAGGGGAAAGAACTGAAGGCCAAGCAGTTTGTACACGGAGAATCCCTACTCCATGCAGGGTGGGGTCTCCAGCTGCAAGTGCCAACTTCGAATAAAACCAATGACCTCTTGATGACTGCCCCAAAGGGAGAGGGGGCAGGGGAGAAGAGGGATTGAATGGCATGCCAGTTCTAGGGATCCTGCTAATCACAGCCCGCCACCCCCAACCCAGATGCTCCTAGCAGCTGCCTCTTCCCCATTTCCTCAGTGCTCACTGAGTGCCACCTACACCAGGCCCCAGATGCCTCTGCAGTCATTGACTGCAACTGGCTCTTTTGCCCACGGCTTGCTGTGTGTGTTGTGTTCAGTCTTGGTTTCTCAAGCTGGGCACGTGCCCAAGCGTGGGGACGATATCCCTGACTTAAGTGGGGGCTCTCTGAGAGCAGAAAGCAACCTCACTCTCACCCCAAGACTGCGGCGCCAGAGAGATCTCAGTCGTCTCTTCCCCCTTCACCTCCTTTATAGTTTTAAAACACCAGAGGGAGGAGAGGCTTGGGTTTCGCTGGTTCTGCTTAAAAACATCATGGCTTTCTGTTCCAAACGAGAGGAGGGGGGCGACTTTGGCAAAGTCCCTGCTCTCTTGCTGCATAGACGAGGCTGGGGTGCGAGGAGACACGGTCACACGCTACCAGGTCCCAGACTGGCCAAACCCGAGCGGGACAGTGTGCTACCTCCTTCCACCACCGGGAGGCGGCTGGTCCCTCCGGTTTTTTTCCTTTGGGGGTGCTAGAGGGATGGGCCGGTGGCGGGGGGGGGTCGGGGGCCGAAGGCAAAAAGGTGTAGCGAGTACAGAAATAGCCTGGGGTTGCGGTGGGTGAAGTAAGATCGAGGAGGCCTGGGACGGTCGGCAGGGATCCTTGTGGCCATGAGTATGTCGGGGTCCTGGGTTCCCTTGACAGAAGACTGGAGGGGCGGTCAGGCGCCCGAGTCGGCAGTTACAGCAGTGGGAGACTTTCCTTCTCTCACCTGCGGGCGCACCTTCCTCGCAGCTGAAGGGCACGGTTTGTGGAAACACCCCGCGTTGGTCCAGACTCCGGAAGTTAACTGTTTGCGGTGGAACCGAACTGGGGGGGGGAGGCAGCCGAGCTGGGTTAACCGCACAGATACGGACGGCTTCGAGTCCCCCTCCCCCAGCCCCCAAATGGACAAGATTCCAGAAACTCCCCGAGGGACATAGCAAAGCGAAAGGGAAAGGGAGTAGTTAAACTAGGTTTGTCTTTCCCAATTCCCCCCTCCCCGCCCCCTCCTCCGCCTGTCCGCCCGGGGCGCCCCCTGCAGGCGGCCGTCCTCAGCACGTCTTCAGCACCTGTTGCAGGTGGAGGCGCACGTCGGCGGCCGTTTCCCAGGGCACCACGCTGGCGCGGACCGAGCTGGGCTCGGCCTTCTGCGCCTCCTGGATGAGGCGGTGCATGGGATAGCCGTGGCGCGGGAAGGCCACGTCGCCGCCCGCCAGCAGCCCCATGGGGCAGAAGTCGTTGGCGCCGTCGCCCACGTAGAAGAGGCGCTCGAAGTGCACGCCGTCGTGGGCCCGCTCGCGCAGGTAGTCGCTGAGCACCTTGTGCTTGCACATGTTGGCGGGGCAGCGCGTGCAGCTGTGGGTGTGGAAGGGCCGCAGCGCCAGCAGTCCCCGCGCGTCGGGCCCCGACGGGTTGCTGAGGATGCGGCGGAACAGGCCGTGGTGGCCGGCGGCGCGCAGCGCGCTCTCCACGCCAAAGGTGTTGGCATCGGAGATGAGAATAACCTCGAAGCAGGCACCCTGCTTGGCCACAAACTGCAGCAGGTCGCCCATGCCCGGCGACAGGGGGATGGCTTCGTAGATGACACGCAGGTCCCGCGGCCGCACGCCCTGCTCGCCTAGGTACTTGAAGACGCGCTGCATGTACTCGTTGTAGAAGCCCTCGCGGTAGGTGGCACGCAGGCTCTCGGGCAGCCGCTGGCCCGGCGCGGCACGCACGATTGAGTCGTCACTGTTTTCGTCCACGATGGTCTCATCGAAGTCGAAGATCAGGAGGAAGCGAGGCGCGCCCTGCGCGGCCATCCCGCCGTCCTGGGAGCAGAGGGGAGAGCAGCAGCAGGAGGAGGAAGGGGCAAGCGAGAGGGGGCGCGGCGGGAGCCGGCCGGAGAGAGGCTGGTTAGCGGGCCACGGCCAGAGGTGCTGGCACATCCAAGACCTGAGGAGGACCCAAGGATGGTTAAGCTGGGAGGAGTCCCCCACACCACCACCCCCATCCCCAGCCTTCCCTGCCTACCCCTTGGCACCTCTCAGTTAACTGCGCTGGGGTGTATGCCCAGAGGACCATCCTACTCTTGAACCCAGATGGGCTTCTGTTTCTGCTACTCTCATCTGGAGCTTAATGAGAGGTCAGCTTAAAAGACAGGAAGAGCAGCTTCCAAGGATCACTGCTTTGCGGGGGTTTCTGGACTAGACTGGAGACTTCCAAAGGCTCCCTATTGTAGAGAGGGTGGCGGGAACTCTCCAGTCCCTCATTCCCTAGCAGAATCAAGGGAAACCACCCCTTCACCTGACTAGAGCAGCTTCCGCATCCCATTTTTGTGCCATGGGGAGCCAATGGCTCGTGGGATTGAGATGGACAGTAAGGAGGCCCACTCCTTCCTTTTGGAGTCATCCAAGGCACGTGAACAATGAAGCCTGATGGGAGCTAAGTGCCAGGCTGGCGGGTTAGGTGCCTGGGCCTCTGGGCCAGAGAACTGGATTTTAGCCCTTGGAATAACTAGGTAGGTAGACTGACCACATGAGACTCAGGAAGGCTCTCTGGGAGCTGCTTCCGGCCAGATGGTACTGGGCAGGGGGAGGGGTCCAGGGGTCGGGCACGGCTTCTCCAGAGATTTTTAGGGCCCTGTGCTGACAGCTCATCACTAATCACTTGCCAATTCCCCGGGAGGAACGTGTCAGCGGGTGGGGTTTCTGCCAGAGTCCGAAGCAAGACGGCAGCAGGAGAAGCAGTGGGGCTTAGGGAGGTGGGAGCCTCCCGCACCAGGCCACGACATACCTGGGAGACAGTAAGGGAGAGGAGAGAGAGCAGCAGTGGCTGAAAAGGCAGAGGAGGAGTGAGCAGGTAATGGGGATGTGGTGGGGGGCTAGGAGGAAGTCATGCCAGGGGTTCTCAGAGACAGACCGCTGGGCAGGAATGCAGAGTAGGGGTGGGGGAGCCCCAGGAAGTGGGCCAGAGTCATGTTGAGGAGGGAAGGGTGGGGGGCAGGGTGGGAGAGGATGGGGGACAACAGGGAAAGTGTCAGGGCACAAAGGCAAACAAATAGAGTCAGCAGGAGCCCTCAGCACACCCGCCACCTTTGCCGGCCAGTGCATGAGAGGGACAGAGCAAGCAGATCACATGCAGCTTCCAGATATCAACACTCGGCCTCTCTCCCTCCCAGCCTCCCACCCCAGTTAATCAAGGTGGAACCATTCCTCCTTCTGGTTTCTTCCTAACCCCTTCTCTAATATTCCTGGGATGTTTATGGCCTGGCACACCTTGAGAAACAAGTCCAAGTTCCTTATTTCAGAGTTGAGATTTGAACCTGGCTATCTGCTTCCCTCACACAACCGTCCCTTCAGCCTCATCCCTGGAGTCACCCTCTGCTCTCACCAACATCCAGCTGGGAGTCTCAGTGGCCCAGTGTTCCTGGAGTTGAGGATGTAAAATATCAGGATTCCACACCGGGAATGGAAGCTTCCAGGGATTAATGAAGCCCCAGTGGAGGTGAGGACAAGCCTAAAAGGGGTTGGATAGGGTCCTCCCACCCTGTGATGGAAAGGGAGGGGCTGAGGCCTCATCCTAAGAGACCCCTGGAGGGAGCCACTTACCCTAGACAGGCATCGGAGGCCAGAAACTGGGAAACACGCACTCATGGTCAGTACATCACCCTGGGCGCCACCTGCAGGGACTCGGTTGGCCTCCAGCTGTCACAACCACAAAAGTTTGTTTGAGGGTGCTCAGTAGGCTGGCTTTGCTTCTAGCACTAATACCCACCTGGGCTTGGCCCTTCTGCTGAGCCCCAGGAGCCACTTCCGGGGTCTCAGAAAAACCCACCCCTCACATAGGCCCAGCACTTCTAGACCACAGAGTACCTTGCTAAGGCATCCTCTTAGCAATCCCCTACAACCCCGAGAGATGCCAGAGGATATTACTGGAGACCCAGAGAGGTTAACGGACTTGCCCAAATATTACTCACTGTAAGTGGCAGGGACAGATCTCAAACCCAGGCCTCAGAGTTGAGACTAGTGCTTTTTTTCTCTGGTATGATCCTGGTCCCGTATGTGTGTATGGTACATCACAGTTTACAAATCACCTTCACTCATATTCTCTCACTGCTCATCACAAAAGTATGAGTTCAGCAAATGAGAAGGCTCAGAGAGGTTAACTAACTGCCATGCTGTTTGCATGGGGCAGAGCCTGGGTCATGAACACCTTGCCACAGCTTTGCCTTCCTGATGCCCCCAAAAGGGAAGGGGCAGATGACTCAGGGCTTACTGTACCATAGCTGGGGGGCTGAGGCCTCCAGCTGCATCCCCACAAGTGATCCTGGACTGGCCTCCCCTGTGCTTTCAGGGATCCAGCAGTCAGACAAGAGAGACAGGTTGAAATCTCTGCTGGACTTTGCTGTGTGGCTTTGGGGACTGGGTTTGGCCTCTTGGAGGCCTTTGCCAAGACAGATACAAAGGACACCACCTATAGTTTCCAGTGCCTCCCTATGCTCCCACCCCTCCTCCTGGGGTTGAATCAGAGACCAGAGGCAGCTGGGACTTAACTGGAAAGATATTGAGATCCAGGAGACCAGACCAGGAGAGGAGCAAAGGTCTGGCTAGCTGCCGCCCTCTGGTGGTGGCAATGGGTGACACTGTAAACCCCTCTGACTTTGTCAATGACATTCTACCCTCACCATCCCAGGACAGCAGGGAGAAGCAGCTGCCCCCAAGACAGAGATGTCCCACATCCCGGCAGCAGAGCACAGGCTCTGGCCCCCTCCACCTTGAGGTGCCCCCTCCCTCCCAACTCTCTGACCACACATGTATTAAACCCTTCAGCGGGGGTGGGATGTGGGTATCAGTTTTTTCCCTAAGAACTTTTAATCTTGGAGTTGGGAGGGGTGGTCAAAGCTGGGCCGGCAGTGTGCAAAGAGAGGGAGAGGGTGGAAGAGAAGATGGTGGGAAAGGAAGGGAGGGAGGCATTGGCGACATGGGAATGACCATCCCCAGTCCCCATCAGGAGTTCCAGCCTTCTCAAATCCTGGCTGTCTACACGGTCAACCTTGGCCAGGTGAGTCAGAGGAGAAAGGTCAGGGATGCCACTGTCATGGTAAAAGCAAACACGGACAGGCACGTGTCATGTGGAGAGAAGCAAGGGGCAGATACAAAGAAAAGTGTCACCAGCAGCCACCCAGAGACCAACTTTCAACCCATAGAAAAGAGTCTCATTACTTTGCCCTTGTTTTCTTTTCTTTCCTTTTTTAAAAAAATATTCTCTTGATCTTTATGTTCAAAACTTCTCATTTCTTGCCGGGCGCGGTGGCTCACGCCTGTAATCCTAGCACTCTGGGAGGCTGAGGCGGGCGGATTGTTTGAGCTCAGGAGTTCGAGACCAGCCTGAGCAAGAGCGAGACCCCGCCTCTACTAAAAATTAGAAAGAAATTAATCGGCCAACTAAAAATATATAGAAAAAACTAGCCGGGCATGGTGGCGCATGCCTGTAATCCCAGCTACTCGGGAGGCTGAGGCAGAAGGATCACTTGAGCCCAGGAGTTTGAGGTTGCTGTGAGCTGGCCGACACCACGGCACTCACTCTAGCCCGGGCAAAAGAGTGAGACCCTGTCTCAAAAAAAAAAACAAACAAAACAAAAAAAAACTTCTCATTTCTCATCATAAAAGACACAGTTACATTTTTCCATCTAATAATAATATTTAGGGAAATCAGTTAAACACTTATTATTTGGTGAGTTGCCCTCATTTCTTTTAGTCTCCAGAGGAGAATGCCAGGCCTCCTGGGTTTCTTCCCCTGGAAACTGAGGCCATGCTGTGATGCCCCACCCCACCCCACAGGGTCAGAGGGACCCTGTCCCCAGATGGAATCTGGCTCCTGTGATGTTCCAAATGGTCTCTCACCTCTGGCAGCTTTGTCCTGAGTGATCAAATCCTTTTGTGGTCACCAAAGAGAAAAGGGGGGCAGGACCTCTGAGCTTCTCCCACAGGCTAGAGCAGGGAGAGGAGAAGGGTTTCTAGGGGGTGGCAGAGAGTCCATATTCCTGTCCCATCTAAAAGCAGTGCCACCTCCCTGATCCCACACTGGGTCAGACTCCTACCTGCTCCCTCCTGCCTTTTACACAAATGCTCTCAGATTAAATCTGTAGGATAGGGTGGAAAGGAGACATAGATCTCTGGTTGGCATAGGCCCTGAGTTCGAAGTTTCTCTCTTAGTGGATGGATGGAGCCCCAAGGAAAGTTTTGAGATAATTTTCCACCAGAAATGTGCAGGATGACGATGGCAGCATGAGGACCCCAGAAATACAACAGTAACAAGCCCTCTCTGGCCAAGAACAAGTCTCCTCCTATCAGTCACTAGAAATCAGATCCAGCAACTAAGGTGGAACTCCCTCCCTCCCCCAGACAGCATCCCAGGCTTGACCACCTTCCTTGCTCACCACCACCCCCAGGTAGCAAATAGGAAAAACAGAGACCCAGAGAAGTCAGGCTAACATGGTGGGGTCACACAGCATCAGGGTCAGGATTAGAACTCAGGCATCTCTGGTGTCTCTTGGGCAAACTGCAGCTGGAGTGTCCCCTATTGCCCTGGGGGCCCCCTTGGGCTGTGAGCTTGAGGTCCTGACCAGCTGGCGGTGATGATCCGGCGCCCTGGTGCCCATGAGGCATTTGGGACTAGGCGTCACCTCTGGGCTCTCCCTGCGTGGGCAGACAAGCTAGGAGGGGATCCTCACGGGGCAGGGGCAGGGGCAGGGAGGTGGCAGCTGCCGGTGGGGTGGGGGGAGAGATATTTTTAGAGGTGACTGGAAAGCCAGCACTCTGGCACACCCCCAGCTGGCGGGCGCTTCGCTCCAATGCGGGCGGGGGGTGAGCAGCTCGGGAGAGGACTTGTGGGTGGCGGGGAGCAAGGGGGCACCGATTCCTTGGCTTTGCCAGAGTCGGGGACAGAGGGACACCCGGGCGCCACGTTCCTGGGGTAGGAGAGAGTAGGGGACTCACTCCTCTGCTCCAGGACTCTCCCACGGCCAGGCGCGTGAAGGAGCGCCTTCAAACTCTAAACAGCCCCCACCCCGCGCTGGGACCCCAGCCCTCCCCTAGCTCCCGGAGCCCAGGACTCACGTGGGGGCGGCGGCGGCAGAGGTCTGTCCCGGCTGAGTTTGGAGTGTACGGAGTGGGGAGGGGGGCTAGCTGAGGTATCTGGGCGCTGGATGGAGCAAAGGGTGCTTACGGGATTTGGAGGGCACGCGGTGTCTTATCCACCCCCGGGTGTCTGGGCTCCGGCTCACGAGTCCCTCCAGTCCCGAGGGACTGTGGATGATGTGCGTCTGGGCCGTCCCCTCCACCTGCCCCCCATCCCCCCGGGCCGCCGCCGCGTCCCCTTTAAATGCCCGGGAGCCGGAGCCGGAGCCGGAGCCGCGGCCGGCGCTGCGGCTGCTGCAGCAGCCGGGCCCACCGCAGTCCCCACACGTCACAAGCGACAATCCAATCACAGCGGGGCCGGCGCATATCAAAGGGACGGGCCGCCCGTGGCCACGCCTCCCGGCTGCCGCCGAGGCTCCGGGAGCCCGAGCCAAGGTGGGATTGGCCGCTGGGGCAAAGGCTAGGAGGGTGGCGATGGAGCACGTCCCTCCCGAGGAGCGCAGGTCGGGGGCGCGCTCAGTAGAGCGGCTGTGGGCATGTCCGTAAACCCCTGCCCACACGCCCAAGTACCAGCGCTGCGGACTTTCCCAACCGCCGCCTCCAGGGCTCTGATCCCGAGATGAGCAGACATGCACCTCCACCTCGGCCCGTTCCGCTCGCGGTTCCAGCGGCGTCGCAGTGCCCGGCCCGGGCCTCGGGACCCTTTCCCCAGTTAACAGGTCACTCCCCCACTCCTCCACCCCGTGAACACTTAGTTGGCGGTGAGGGGGCGAACAGTTTGTCCCTTTGCAAATGGTACTATAAATTTAAAAGCAAACTTTCTCCTCTGCTTCCTAGGAGTCCGTTCCTAGCCGTCCCCTCATTCCCCTCCCCCAACCTTTTGGCCCTCCCGGGGTGAGGGGAAAGAGAAAAGTGTTGAAGGATGAAAGAGGTGAAATTTGTATTTACTGAGAACATACTATAAACCGGGCACGCGGGTAGGTCACTGCATTTATGGTTGCGTGTTCACAACACTCGGGATAACTCCTGTGCCTAAGCGTTCAGACCCAGGCACCCTTCACTCCATTGGGTTGCAAAAGGGTGTGTAGGTGGGGAGAACGCAGCTGCCGCCACGCCTGGGTCTCACTCCAGTCCTTCCTAAGCCTTCCCCTGCTCCACTCCCAGAAGACGGCCAGGTCTGGGAGCCGGTGGGGCTGGAAATCAGGAGGAATGAGGGTCAACGAGGAATTACCCTTCTGTCTGCGCTAGGGGCTGGGGGTTCATTAATAAATAAGACAAGTGTGCGCCCTATTTCCATGTGTACAAAGGGGCCTGAACACTTTAAAGCTACAAACCTGATCAAGGCACTCGCTCCCTTCCTTAAAACCTTTGACCGTGACCCACAGTGCCCCGCCTCCTTAACTGGCTTGCTGCCAGGCTTCATGTCACTCGCACCCGTCTTCACTCCTCACTCCTTCCCATTCACCAGCACACCTGCTCTTTCTCTCCTTGGGACCTCCCTCCTCCAGGAACACGCTTCTTCCCCCATGCCAGCCGCATTTGCTGGGCACACTCAGCTGTCAGCCTCAGCATCATCTCTGCCAGCTCTGCCCGTTACACATCCCGGCCCCTTTTATTACACTAGCCACATGCATACTACCTGAGCACTTGGTGGGTGCTGGAAAATTTTTGCATGTGTCCACTTGTGTAATGTCACAACCCTATGAAATGGGAGCAGTTCAGTCTCATTTTACTGTTGGGAAATCAAGGCACAGAGAGTTGAACTTGCCCAGGATCACCCCACTGGTGACTGGTAGGGCTGGGATAGCAACCTGGTTTCCTTAACCATTACCTCACACTGTCCCTCTCGTTCAACGTCCGGCATCCCTCCTCTCCTGTGAGCGACGTGAGGGCACATTTATGAATGTACCCCCAGCCCCTGGCATGGCCATCCTGCCACACAGTGGGCCTTAGGTGTTTGTGATCAAATCAATCAAGTCTCCTGCTATGTTCAGCCTCCAGGATAGTGATCCACTTGTATTCCCTATTTTTTTTTTTTTTGAGACAGAGTCTCACTCTGTTGCCCAGGCTAGAGTGCCATGGTGTCATCCTAGCTCACAGCAATCTCAAACTCCTGGGCTCAAGCGATCCTCCTGCCTCAGCCTCCCGAGTAGCTGGGACTACAGGCATGAGCCACCATGCCCGGCTAATTTTTTCTATATATTTTTAGTTGTCCGATTAATTTCTTTCTATTTTTAGTAGAGACGGGATCTTGCTCTTGCTCAGGCTGGTCTCGAACTCCTGAGCTCAAACAATCCGCCCACCTCGGCCTCCCAGAGTGCTAGGATTACAGGCATGAGGCACTGCGCCTGGCCCCCTATTTTTTTTTGAGACACAGTCTCTGTAACCTGGGCTAGAGGGCCATGGCATCAGCTTAGCTCACTGTAACCTCAAACTCCTGGGCTTAAGGGATCCTCCTGCCTCAGCCTCCCAAGTAGCTGGGACTACAGGCACGTTCCACCATGCTGGCTAATTTCTTTTATTTTTGGTAGAGATGGGGTCTCCCTCTTGCTCAGACTGGTCTCAAACTCCTGGCCTTAAGCGATCTTCCTGCCTTGGCCTCCCAGAGTGCTGGGATTACAGGTGTGAGCCACTGCCCCTGGCCTGCATTCCCTCATTTTATCTTCACAATAACAAGTTGTTCCAGTATTATCCTCATTTACAAGGAAATTGACACTCAGAGATAAAATGATTTGTTCAGGGTCACACAAGTGCCCTGGAGGCAAGTGATCCAATCCTGACCCTCTGATGCAATTAGCAGCAGTTTCAACCATTTTCCAAATTCACTGATGGGGTCCGGAGAAGAATAGGCGGATATCTTCTTGTGGCTACTGGTGGCCTCAAGTTTTTACTGCCCAGCTCTGCCTTCCAGCCCAGCGGTGGGAATGCCAGAGCTCACAGGTGCTATGTGCAAAGCACCTTTGTGAAATAAGTGTTGAAACTCCTAATTCTCCCTACACCAAAAATACCAGAAGACAAATCCTGTCTGTCAACTTTTACTTTCTCTTCTCATTGTGCCAGTGAGTAAGCAATTGGATGATCACTCATGTGCTTAAAGATGGGGACAGAAACGGACTGGGAAGCCCATCCCCCAGTTGTCTGGGGCATCTGCCTAGCACACAGGCTGCAGATCTGCCTCTCCGTGTGCAGGTTCCACCTTAGGACTCGGGTCAGTCGACCTGGCAGGCCGTGTGTGTGAATAGGAGTCATCTTAGGTGATAGGGCTCACTGGAGTCCCCAGTGAACCATGACTCAGGAGGCCAGGGATGGTGCAATCCACCTGGTCTTCACAAAGAGGGCATGTCCCTTGCCCAGGCTTTCAGTGTTAGAGCCAAAGAGGCCAGGAATTCAAGGACTTGGCCTCTTGCTCGTCAATTGGCCTCGGGGTGGTTGGTGCTCGGGTGAGAGGGAGGGGCAGATCAGTTTGAGTTTAGTCCACACACCTCACCCGGGGAAGGCACACAGTCCCCACAACCACCCTGGTAGATGGGGTTTAGTACAGTATTCACATTTTTACAAATGAAAAAGCAGAAGCTCCGGGACATTAAGAAAGCACCTTGCCCAAGGATGCTGTGTAGCAAGCGGCGGTCAGGCCGGATGGTTCAGGTCCATACCGCTCTGTCTGCCCCCAAATGGAAAAAAGACAGGGCCCTCCAGTGATCTGGGGATTGAGGAGAGTGGGCTTAGGAGGAAGAGGCCACCGAAAGTGTCTTGTTCTGGCAGTTCTGTAAGATCTGTTGTAGGGCACTCTGGGTCTAAGATCATGTGCTGACCAAGGGCTGAATAAACCCCTTCTGGGCCTCAAAATCCCCTTTCTAGAAAACAGTTGCTAATATTGATAGAGCGCTTACTGTCTGCCAAGCAGTGTCCTAAAAATCTCAATCAATTCATTCTTACATCAGCCCTATAATCTACTCATTCACCCATTTTACAGATAAAAAAATAAGGGACAGGATAGTATGTAACTAGCCCAAAGTGTCACAGAGCTAGGAAGCTGCAGAAGCAAGACTTGAATCCAGTCAGTTGTCTGCAGATCTTTTAAATTTTTTTTCTTTTTTGGAGGCAGAGTCTTGCTCTGTCACCCCTGCTACAGTGCAAAGGTGTCATCACAGCTCACTGCAACCTCAAACTCCTGGGCTCAAGTGATCCTCCTGCTTTAGCTTCCCAGGTAGTTGAGACTACAGGCGAGCACCACCACGCCCAGCTAATTTTTTCTGTTTTTAGTAGAGACAGGGTCTTGCTCTTGCTCAGGCTGGTCTCGAACTCCTGAGCTCAAGTGATCCTCCCACCTTGGCCTTCCAGAGTGCTGGGATTACAGGCTTGAGGCCCCGCCAGAGCCACATTCTTTTTTTTTTTTTTGAGACAGAGTCTCACTCTTTTGCCCGGGCTAGAGTGCCATGGCGTCAGCCTAGCTCACAGCAACCGCAAACTCCTGGGCTCCAGCTAGCCTCCTGCCTCAGCCTCCCGAGTAGCTGGGACTACAGGCATGCGCCACCATACCCGGCTAATTTTTTCTATGTATGTATTTTTAGTTGTCCAGATAATTTCTTTCTATTTTTTTTAGTAGAGACGGGGGTCTCGCTCTTGCTCAGGCTGGTCTCGAACTCCTGACCTTGAGTGATCCACCCGCCTCGGCCTCCCAGAGTGCTAGGATTACAGGCGTGAGCCACCACGCCCCGGCCCAGAGCCGCATTCTTAACCAGAGCATCACGAGGCCTGCCCTAAAGACAGTGCTTTTCAGTTTTTTTTCACTGATCACACTTTTTGGCCTATCAGTTACTGTCTGTTAAGTTAGAAGGTTGAGAGTTCCTTGAACTTTGGCTTATACAACACAGTCTGACTCGGAATCAGCATAGCTGGGTTTGAACTTGTGTGACGTCAGACAAGTTGTCCCCCTTTGGACCTCATTTCCCTACTTGGGCAGAAAATTGTCAAGATCTGACCAGTTTTGAGAATCCTCTGTTATTTAAAGCAGATCAGGGCGGGGCGCAGTGGCTCATGTCTGTAATCCTAGCACTCTGGGAGGCTGAGGCGGGAGGATCGCTTGAGGTCAGGAGTTGGAGACCAGCCTGAGCAAGAGGGTGACCCGGTCTCTAAAAAAAAAAGGAGACCAGAGAGGGAGTCTTGGTTGCTCCTCCCCTCACAGCACAGTAGAAGCCAAACAGCCCCCCAAGAA